TTCGTATCATTTTAGCAGAAACTCCAGAAGATTTACAAAATGCTTTGAATGAATTTGAAAGCTACTGCTCAGAGTGGAAATTACAAGTAGATATTGAGAAAACAAAAATATTAATTTTTTCAAAAGAGTATTTTACTATAATAACAAGAGTCTCGAAACTGTCAAAGAATCTAAATATCTTGGTATCATTTTCTCAAGATCTGGCTCTTTTTTAAAAGCCAAGAAACACCTCTGTGAGCATTTCCAAAAGGCAATGTATGCATGGTGTTATCAGAAACATAAGACAATTTAACCTCCCTGTTGAATGTCAACTTGATTTGTTCGATAAATAGTTTTACCAGTGTTACTTTATGGCTGTGAAATCTGGGGTTTTGAAAACCTAGATATTATTGAACGTGTTCATTTGAAATATTTGAAACATATACTGTACTTGAAAAGTAGTACCCCGAATTATATGGTTTATGGTGAAACAGGGCGTTTCCCACTATCTGTTCTTATTTATTCAAGAATAGTCTCATTCTGGTGTAAGTTACTGAATATCACAGATAAGAAAATTTCATGTGTATTATATCAATATTTAATTGCTAACTCACAATCTGAAATAGGTAAGAATCCTTGGATTGACTGTCTCCATCGTATTTTTGACTCATGTGGTCTATCTCATATTTGGAATGAACAATTTTATTGTAATCCTAATTAAGACTGGGTTACTTCTGTTGTTAAACAAAGGTTACAAGATCAATTTATACAAAAATGGCATTCTGATATTAATAGTTCTTCTAAAGGCACTTTGTATAAAACAAATTTTGAGTGTGAAAATTATTTAAATATTTTACCATTAAAATTTAGAAAAATACTTGTCAAATTCCGAACTACTAATCACCGTCTACCAGTTGAGCTGGGAAGATGGGCATGTATACCATTAAAAGAAAGATTATGTACACTTTGTAATGCTAAACATGTTGCTGATGAATTCCATTTTATACTCGAACGTAATGCACTGTCAAATATTAGGAAAAAGTATATCAATGAATATTACTTTACTAGACCAAATATTTTGAAATTTTCCCAACTGATGACAAAACAAGATGCTATGTCACTTAAAAAACTTTGTATGTTTATATTAAAAATATATGATTTAGTCTATCCTCCATAATTTTTTCTCCTCATTTATTTCATTTTGTACACGTATCATACGTGTTTTCTCTCTTTTTTCTTTTTCCCACATTGCCATTTTCTGATTATGTATACAATGAAGCGCATTGAAGTGGTAAAATTTTCCATTTGGGTGAAACGTTCTGAGTCATGTTTTGAAGGTCAATTATAACAGAACGACACGCCCATTTCTTTAGAAACGAAAAAGAAATATTCGTCATCATGTTTTAGGACACCCCACTTTCCGCGATAAGCAACATGAGTTATACTGAAATGAAGATTTTTAAATAAGAAAGAGCTATATATAGAGTCCCCGCTTCTGTAAAAGACGCATTACAACGAATTTGTACATACAATGAAGGGCATTGAAGTGGTAAAATTTTCCGTTTGGATGAAACGTTCTGAGTCATGTTTTGAACGTCAATTATAACATAATGACACGCCCATATTTTTAGAAACGAGAAAGAAATATTCGTCGTAATGTTTTAGGACACTCCATTCTTCGCGATAAGCCTTATGAGTTACACTGAAATAGAGCTTTAAAAAAATCAGAAGAGAGAGTTAGAGATTCCCCGCCTCTGTAAAACACAAATTGCAACGAATATGTACATGTTTTTGAATTTATCATGTCTTTTGAAGTTACCACAACACGTGTTTCGGTCGAACACGTGTTTACTCGGTGTTTATTTAGACCGTCAATTTGATTGGCTATTATATTTATGGAAAACCTGTTCTACAAGTATTCGAATAAACACATTGACCGTTTTATTCATTTCTAAAGAAATGGGCGTGTCATAAGATGACAATAAACGTTCTAAAGATAGCTCAAAACGTAGGCCTTTCAACTAATTTTTCAAGTTGCACATATGGTAAAAAACATTGTATAGATAGATTTATAGGTACATGAAATTATCAAAAAAGATAATAACTTATGCATACTTTTAATAACATCATTAAAAAGTTTAATCATTTATAATTGACTTTTCCGATATTGTGTTTAAGGACAGGTAACTCAGGTGTGAAAAATGACCAACTTAGTGCCGATTTATGAGTTATCGTTTATAGGAATGACATATAGGCTGCTTCAGCATTGGTATTGTTATATACACAAAAGGGTTCCTTACATTGTTTTGTACACAAAAAGTTTTGACCAAGAGAAAGAGAATGCCTTCACTCTACCTGAAATAACAGGGTCAAATGAATGGGGAACAGACTATATTCAATAGTTTTAACTCTCTTTGACGATTATTATGAAGAAGAAAATTTAATGTCATATTTTTTGTGTTCGCGCTTTTTCGCTTCCTGTGTAAATATATATATTTTTACAAGTAAATGCAGCAGTTGATCATCTTACTTGTATTACTAAGCACGAAGGGGAACGACCGAGTATAAAAATTTAATTAGGTTAGAACTGAGAAAGAGGGTAGATTTCACTTTTTATTTTAATTAAAAATTTTAATTATATGCAGTAAACCGGTGTCTGCAACTATACAGTAAATAAGTTTAACATTGGTGCTAAATTTTAAAACCACTGGATTCTACTGAGAGCAAAGAAACACTTGGGAAATGCTAAAAACTGCCTTGCGTGTAAACAGTTAGATACCCCGTACCTGCTCTAAACAAGTTTCAGCAGTGAGTTATCGTTCATAACACCGACCCCTAGCGGCAGTTGAAAGGCCTACAAAACGTTCCATTCGAACGGAAAATTTTACCACTTCAATGCGCTTCATTGTAATTATGATTTTATCACGTTTATTGGAGTTGGCATAACACATGTATCAGTCGAACACGTGCTTACTCGGTGTTTATGTAGACTGTCAATTTGATTGGCTACTATATTTGTGGAATACCTGTTCTACTGGTATTCGATTGAATCATTTGACCGATTTTTCATTTTTAAAGAAATGGGCGTGACTAAAAATAGCTCAAACGTTCTATCCAAACGAAAATTTTTACCACTTCAATGCGCTTCATTGTATCATTAACTTATACCTCTGACCTGAATAACTTGAGACTTTTTGAATAAAATTATAAATCAAAGAGTTATCCTTCCTGGCTGAGAATCGGATGTCCTTAACCATACAACCAGCCTTTCAATGAACAATTTAACAGGACAGGGGGTATGGGACCCCTCCCCCTTTTTTTTACTTATTTTTTTAAATATGAGGTAGAGAACGCTTTTAACTATTTCTGTATTCTAAAATGCACTATATGTTATTGATAAGCTGTTTTTAAATATCTCATATTCGACTTATGTAAAAGAAATGGAAGGGGGGGGGGCAATACCCCAGGTGCCTGTAAACATGTGGAAAAAAATTAATAATATAAAATGTTATGTTTTGAAAAAAGTGGAGTAAGCCCTTATCCTGATACTACATGCCTGAAACTTACACAAATTATGAATTTTGACATGATATCTATACGTTGTACGACAAAGCTTGTATGTGTCATTGCTTAGGTCTAATCTCATTTTCGTGGCGAATAGAAATTTTGTACTGGCGCGGCGCGGCGCCTTCTCCGAAGAAGAATCTTGCTGGGATGGGATATGTCGTTGCTAAGCCTAGATAGTATATATATTGTTGTTTGTTATACCCTTATAAATATCCTTCTATATATTTCTTACTAATAAAAAGTCCAACAAAAGAAATGTTTATTACGTCGGTCTAACAATTTCACTATTGACCGGTCTTACATAAGAATTGTTAGACCGCAACGTCACCTGTCTGTTACGTCACAATTAATAATCATCGTTCAATATCGGCGACGCGAAAATAGCCGAAGTTAAGAGCTATTAAGAGTTGTTGCTAACAGCAAGGTAAGGTAGAAGGGAAGAGTATGTTTTGTGATAAATAATTTTTGTGATATAATAGACTTATAATTGATTTTGTTCTTTCTCAGCTTGATGTTTATATTTACTGAAGAAGCCATAATTTTCCATATAAAATAATTGATAGTATAGCGTGTATTGATAAAATTGATCAATCTTAAGTGAGCAGTGAAGGGTATAACAAAACAGTTATAGACTGGGATTCCTGCAACATATGATTTGTTGGACCTGACTGTGAAAAATCTGCCCGCGCCCTGCGGCCTCGGGAAACATTTTCACCTTCAGGTCCAACAAATCATATGTTGCCCTCATACCCAGTCAATAACTGTATATTATAATTGTTATTTTTTGAAAGTAATGCATGGTTTAATTTAAAGTTGAAATATTGATAAAGGAATCAAGATGCAAACATCCCATATTGCTAAAAGTGCACATGCTTTCAAAAAATAATAAATATCATAGTTAAACTCTCACAATTGTGAAATTTTAAGAAATTGTCTAAAGGCCTATTTAACATCTAGCTGTTTTAATTCATTTTTGGAACTTTAAAAAGTAAATAAACAACGAATATTTTGGCTGGTTGGTTGGGTTTGAAGGCATTTTTCTTCTAAAGATAATAATCAGGATAAATCAAGAGACCCATGGGTCATAAAACTCACCTGAGTAACATTAAGTCCCGATACACCTTATTTTACCTTTGTTACATATGTAAAGGATCAATTAGAAGAATTTGTTTTATCAGATATAAGAAATCTGTAGGCACCTTTCATTTACTAGATCTTGCCCTTAGGAAGAAGTTGAAAATGTGAAAAGTTTACAAACAAACATAAGGACATGCAGCTAGATGGCTAGTGCTCGCCAAAATGCAATCACAAAAACTCACTTGAACTTTTGGCTCATGAGAGCTAACAAAAAAGTAAATTTGATAAAAAAAAAAATGCATCATCAAACCAGTTTAGCAAGGACATTCAAGATAACGAATCAGTGATTGGAAAAGTCCTCAACGAACAGTTTAAAAAAAAGTTTAGTACCATTTATTTTCAATAGAAAATAAAACAAATGAATTATAATAGATAAATTTTAACAATCATACATACACTCCATCTGCGAAGAGACTCACAAAGATAAGGAACAACAGCTATACATCACAAAGCAGTAACTCAATTAATCTCATAAATAAACATTCAAATAGATTACTGTGTATCACTAAAATTTCGCGACACCTTATTTACGCGAAATAGTCATTGACTCTTGATTAGCGAGACAAAATTTTCACGAATTGTGGTTATTGCTCTATATAATCATAAGGAATGCTATTATTCGCGAGAATTAAATTTTAGCGAGCACACTGTCTCGCGTAATTACGCGAAAATAAAGTTCTCGCGAATAAATAGTGATTTACAGTACTTAATTTGAGGAGAATTAATTATCTTTCTGCCAGCAATAAAAAGTTTCTTTGGTTTACATTTTCTAATAACTACATTTGTACACAAGGCCAGATTTATACAGAAAAAAATAATTATTTTTAAAAGAATTATTAAACTCATCAAAAGTTTTTTTTTTTTAAAACAAAATGATTTTTTTCTCATTTGAAAATATGGACAGATGAATTCTTTCTCTGAATTTTAAGACTATATTTAAAAAAAATTAGCCATATTCAGAGACATAAATAACATTTATGTTTTATATTTATGTCTCTGCCATATTCTTTGTACTTTTTTATGATCTGGATAGAATTTTTTCTGACAAACTTTGAACCCAGATCAAGATTTTAATGAATACAATTATTTCACTTTCTAATTCACACTTAAAAAATTAATCTGAAATATAATAAATAGTCATTATAAAACAAAGTGTAGCATTACCAGACAATAACTTTAGTACAAAAACTAGCACCCACAACAAGAATCCTGCAATAAGCATACAGTGATAATTTAAAAATAAGAAATCTCTCTGATATTTTTCTACATTGGTATTTTCATAAAGTAAGATATTGTTTAGTAACAAAATGCAGTTTCTTCAACAAACCAGAAAGAAAGTCAGAAAGATACTATATCTAAGATAAAACAAATTCACAGACATCCATTAATATGTAAAGCAAACAAGAGGCCCATGGGCCACATCGCTCACCTGAGCACTGTGGCTAGGGAAAAAGTAGAAATTGGTTTTATTATTGAAAAGTTTAAATCCAAAAGTAAACCTTTGACCAGTTATGGTTTTGCTATTCTTGAGAAGATGATTTTTAAAGAATTTTCCTACATATTTCTTTCTAAAACTTTGGTCGGCCATTGTGGCCCCTTCCCTACCCCCAGGGGTCATGATTTGAACAAACTTGAATCGACACTACCCAAGGATGCTTCCATATAAATATGATCAATTATGGCTTTGTTATTCTTGAGAAGAAGATTTTTAAAGAATTTTCCTATATATTTCTATGTAAAACTTTGGTCGGCCATTGTGGCCCCGCCCTAGCCCCAAGGGTCATGATTTGAATAAATTTGAATCTACACTACCTGAGGATGCTTCCATACAAATATGATCAATCATGGCTTTGTTATTCTTGAGAAGAAGATTTTAAAAGATTTGTGCTATATATTTCTTTGTAAAACTTTGGTCGGTCATTGTGGCCCCTCCCTACCCCCAGGGGTCATGATTTGAACAAACTTGAATCTACACTACCTGAGGATGCTTCCATATAAGTTTCATCTTTCCTGGCACAGTGGTTCTTGAGAAGATTTTTAAAGAATTTTCCTATATATTTCAATGTAAAACTTTGGTCGACCATTGTGGCCCCGCCCTACCCCCGGGGGGTCATGATTTGAACAAACTTGAATCTACACTACCTGAGGATGCTTCTATATAAGTTTCATCTTTCCTGGCACAGTGGTTCTTGAGAAGGAGATTTTTAAAGAATTTTCCTGTATATTTCTATGTTAAACTTTGGTCGGCCATTGTAGCCCCGCCCTACCCCCGGGGGTGATGATTTGAACAAACTTGAATCTACACTACCTGAGGATGCTTCCATATAAGTTTCATCTTTCCTAGCACAGTGGTTCTTGAGAAGAAAATTTTTAAAACATGCAACCAAATTTTCATTAATTCCCAATTATCTCCCCTTGAATGAGGGCGTAGCCCTTCATTTGAACAAACTTGAATCCCCTTTACCCAAGGATGCTTTGTGGCAAGTTTGGTTGAAATTGGCCCAGCGGTTCTTGAGAAGAAGTCGAAAATGTGAAAAGTTTACAGACAGACAGTCAGCTAGACAGACGGACGGACAGACGGACTACAGACAAAATGTGATCAGAAAAGCTCACTTGAGCCTTCAGCTCAGGTGAGCTAAAAAAGCCTTTAAAAAAGATATGTGTACTTATTTGCAGAGAATATTTTTGATATTTTAAGTGTTTTAAGTAAAGCATACATGTACATCAAACTATTCAATAACATGTACATACATTGTCCTCAGAGATAAACAATGAAAGTTCTTTGCATTCTTCTATTACTTGAAACCTTTCCATTAT